AAAAGCAATGAAAATAAAAATAAAAAAATATTTCAACAATGAAAAAAAATATTGAAAACAGTGAAAAAAAGTTATTAAAATAATTTTATTACAAATGCAATTTTTCATAAAATATTCTTTGAATTAAGCACACAAAAGTGCAAATTGTGTATTTAAAATATTTAATAAACTACTATAAAGAACTAAAAAGTTAATTAGCAAAAGCATATAATTAAAAGTTTATGCAAATTAATTCAGCATATTATTTTATTTTAGCTATATTATGTAAATTTAGTATTAAATCGATCACTACTCCTTTAACAAACTACTAAAAAGGTTTTGAGCTGCAAAAATACTGTTTGTTTACCGTACATTTTTATAACTAATGCGTTTTGTTTGTATGAGCTAACTAGTATATATTTAAGTATATTAAGGAAAATGAAGTAGCATACAAATAAATATAATAAAGTAGTAAAATAAAAGCTAAGCAGGAGCTACAAGCGAATAAAGGTTAATTCACTGAAGCAATAAACTAAAATAAATACAGAAATTTCATAAAAAAATTGGAAATTAAAACAATAAAAAAATTCAAAATGGAGCAAAAATAAAAAAAAATTGTAAACAAAAACAGAGTATTGAGATTTAATGAGTTTTTTTTTAACTAAGCTGACATAGTATATAATTTTATACTTAGTCTCCAAAAAAATAAATATAGAAATTTAAAACAAAAACTGCAAGTGTCTGCGCTTCTTTTCTAAACAAGTTCGTTACGCTTACTTATTAAATAAAAATTCGAGTAAAGGAAATTAGCGTATTTAAAAATTGTTGTCGGCACAAAAAAATAAAATAATTAACTAAATTGAAGCATTAAATAAAGTATATATGTACTTAACCTATCACAATCTGCATTTGCTGCCATAACAAAATTGCTTTTCGAAGGTTTTACAATTTTTTGTTTTTGCTGTTAAAACTGGTTTCGGATTTGAAATTAGCTGGGGCTTATTGCATGTGACTAATCTTTTAAATTTTGCATATACGCATACATACTTATAATGCATTTTATATGAATACGCATGCTAATACTCACTCTATACTATTTTATACCCTGCTATTAGTATATTTATAAATAGATAAATAAAGGATAAATCCCATACTTTTTTTGCTTTTTTGTTGCCTTAATAATTTATAAAGTATTTCAGTGTGTATATTGTAAAAATATTATGAAACTGTTACAACATTAATTATTTACTTCCTGTGGCATGGCCATTCAATGGAATATCCGCAGGAATTGACAGCAGTTCTTTAAGGCTTGCAATGCAATGCTTGGAACCGTCACGCGCCTCGCTCGAATACTAAGTGGAGCAATAAAATATACTTTTAAAAACGGAAACGGCAAAATCACTTACACACACTCACCATTGTAAAGTTCAGAAAGCCGTGTGGTAGGCCCTTCAATATCTCCAATGTCACTGGGCGACCCAATTTCTTAAGTTTACGCGCAAACATGACGCAATCATCGAGACAGGGATCCATATCTAGCGTCTACCAAGTGGAGAGAAATGACGGTGGTAATTTGTTTGTGTTTTCATATAAACATAACCTAAAATTTTTATAATTGTACGCAAAAAACTAACCAAAATCTTTGTGTTTGGCAGCTGCTTAAGCCACTCATCGCTTGCCCAATAGGGCGATAGGAATGGATCTTTTGGCACTTGAAAGGCAAACTCTAAGCTGGGGCTACGCGCTATCAACGCATCCATGTTGCGCAAATCTTTTATGCGCTCGCTATGCGTCGAATCGCCGCGTATCTCACTCGATTTGGTGTAACGATCGAAGGTCGTTGTAAGCGCATTGAAGGCGTTATTGAAACGCCCATGTATGGTTTCGAAGGCGATCACTTCTTTGCCGGTATCAATGATGATATTCTCTTCGGATGCTGTGCGCGCTATTGTTGACGCGATACAATTCGTATATGTTGTGCCGTTTGTCACCTTACAGCCATTGACTTTTTGCTCCGTGGCCTCTTGTGTATTTGTGTCGATGAGATATTGGTCCAAAAAGCGATCAATGTACTGTTCTGAGTCCGAGTCTTTTTGCGCTTCGGCGGTTAATTGTATGGGGTAGTGCACGATTGGCTGAGAGTCGTCTTCGAAGGAAACACAAAGACTGTTGTCCTCTTCGGCGGATGGCAAATCGGTACGTTCAACTGTCTGGCTGTGATAGGATGCGCTCGCAAAAGTATCACTGCTCTCTTCCGTCTCACCATCTGCCTCCATGGCATTCATGTCCAATGCAGTGCCATCTTTTAACTAAGTAAAATATATTTTTTAATAAATATTTAAAAGTAAAATTCTACGCCAACTCACCATTTGCTCCCACTTCGAATTCTCCGCAACCGATGATATCGGGCTCTTCGCTGCCGATGTACGCCTGCTGGACGCCGCACTGTACGCCTTTTCCATTTGTAAAGTGAAATGCCGTTCTTGTGACGGTGTTGCGTTGCGTATATCAGACATTTCGGACACATGTTTTGCATTCGCCTCCATCTGCTGACGTTCGGGTGAGGCATAAGCGCGCAAGCAACGCATCATAAAACCGAAAGGCAACAACGGATCCATGAGGCACAAAAGACGCGCCGGACTCGGCACGAAACTAATTAAGGTCGGGCAATAGGCCAAAAAGAGGCCGTCCGGTATACGTACACCCTGTTCAATGCACTTTAGCGCCACACCAATGCAAAGATTTGCACCCGCCGAATCGCCGGCAAGCACAATGCGCTCAGCGGTCGTGCCTAAATGCTCGGCATTGCGCAACATCCAGCAGTAAGCGTAAAATACCTCCTCGAGTGCGCGTGGAAAGGGCGCCTCGGGTGCGAGACTGTAATCCACAGAGATAATCGGCACGTCGAGGGCCGCAGCCCAATCGCGTAGATAGAGCTCGTGTGATTTCGATGACTGCGCCACAAAACCGCCACCATGACAATGGAACAGTACGCTACGGCTGCGTGCTGGTAGGCGACGCCAACTACGTGCAAATATTCCCTCACCGATCATGCCCTCCCGACGCGTATAACTCAACAAGCGCACGCGTATTGAGTTGCCGGGCCCGATGTGTGCAGTTGGTAAAGGTATATCGATCAGTTCGGCATTGTCATTTTGATTTACATCGGTCGCAGTGTGTAGCTTTTGTGACTTTGTAACACTGCAAAGGAAAATTGGTTTTCGATATGATAAAAATTGCTTTACAATTAAAAAAAAAAGAAAAGAACTTACCGCGGTAACTGCAAGCGCTCTGGCGGTATTTCAATCACACGATTCACTTTCACCGAACTGCCGACAATGGTCGGTATGGTATGCATCATCTCCGATTCGGCAAGAAACCAAAAGGCTTTACAAAAGTCGATTTTAGCATTCTGTGAAATATTCACAATGCGGCGCGCGCATTGCTCTGGATTCAAAAAATACTTGCTGCCTGTCCAGAGGCCACGTGTCGTCTTGGTTATTTTACCCTCGCTTTGAGCGTAGAACACTTCGGAGAAGCTCGCCATACCAATTGAAATGAAACGCAACACACCGCGTATAGAATTATCATATTGAAACCCAAGGCAACGACCATAAAAGGCATACTGATTGATCGTATCGCCCAGTTCGAATAATTCCTCAGCCGAATGATGTCCATTGGCGAACAAGTCACCCGAATCGCATGACCAATCGTGCATGATAAGTAAATAATGCAGGCAGGTGCACAACGATGAGAGCAGCTGCGAGCATGACTCCACCTCCTTCATGTAGTATTTCTTACGAAAAAACATTGTGGCACGCGTTGCATGGAGATTCTTGCATATATTCTGTCCATATGTGATAGATGCATTCGTTACAGCTATAAAGCTGCGATAACCATTACCCGGCGTATGCTCGTCAAAGTCGTATTTGTGAGCGAAAGCGGCTATCTGTAGCACCAGCTTGTTCGCCAAACGTATAAAATCCTGCCAGGCGACAAACGCGCCATACAGACGCTGTCCCTTCTCCGAAGGATCTTCTCTGAAGTGGTTGGCATGTTCAATGCACTGCTCAAGCAATTGTGCGTATAAAGGCTGCAAAGCGGGCGCTGCAGCATCCTCAGGCTCAGCAGTTAACGACTCCGCCATCGGTTGATCGTCAAGTTGCGATGTTCGCAATTCAGCAGACGAGATTGTTGAGGCGGCTGACGAGCAGGGCAGCGATTTGGGCGAGGGCGGTGGCGATGGTGGCGTTGTGAACATATTATTGCCGTTAGGTAGCTGCTCATCTATGACTGAACTAAGCTTGTCAGCTTGCGTTTTTCCACTGTCGCTAACAATCATTTCAGCGCCCAATGTGACCCCAGCTGACGGCTCATTACACTCCATATTTTTATGTATACCTTGACCGTGTGAAGGGAGCTGCATAAAGATATAATATGCATGTGAATTGAAACATATTATTATTGCTTAATACTTGTTATATATTAGCATGTACAGAATACTGAAGCAATTAGCATTGCACCTGCTATTCATATATGCATACATACATACATACATACATACATATTTGTTGTTTATTTTAAGTGCTTGTTTTTCTACGCTTAGTTCATTGGCTTAAAAGTGACTTAGTTATGCATGAATAACGCTACTGTGCAAAGTTCAGTTAAAACTATTACTTTTTATGCGAAATATAAACATTACACAGTTTGCGTAACGGATATAACGATACATGCATACGTATGTACTATTAAGGTTCAGTCATAAAATTGAGCAAACCAACAGCTAACGCTGAAGCAAAAAACTCAGACGTTGTAATATTCAACAGAAATTTACGTTTTTCAAGGTTTTAGCACAATATTGTTAATTATTTTTTCATAAAAGTAATAAATATGCGCACTTTCAGTTACAAAAAAAAAGTTACTACGTCTACGTAAAACTTGCATACACACATACATATATAAACAATATAAAACAAATAAATATATATTTTTATTAGTATAAAATATATTTTTTTATATTAGTATAAATATATATTTTTATTAGTACAAATTATAAAAACAATTATTTTGGGCAGCGCTGCGTATGAGTGACATGTATACAACGTATGGCATATGGCCATACAATTATTATGGCGGAAATATTAACGGAAATAGGGTACTTTAGAGTTTAGTCTAATTTGAAACTGTATATCGACTACAAACTTATAACACGGTATTTGTTTGTAATATGTTAAGCATTATTTCACATTTTTATACGCCGAAGGGGTTTCAAGAATCTGCGCCTTTGTCGGAACTGCCGATATCGACTCTCTATAGCATATGAAGAGCATTCTAGCTCACTGTAACCATTAAAAATTCCATTCAAACAAAATAAAATACAAAATCATATTCTTTATATTCAAGTACGGTTTATATATTTCCTACCTAAGTCAACAGCCACTTCATTAGCGGCAGATTATAAATACTTTTTAATTTTTTATTGTTTATGAAAGCTGTTTTAGAGAGGTTATCAATTGCTGCGTGGGAACAAAGCTACCGCGTCTACTGATAAGCGGACAATAAAAAGCAAAAAATAATGCTAAGCGTGCCCAGCTGCAAATTTATAAAAGCAATTCGCTAAGCCAAAAGCAATAAAACACATGCAAGCTAAAATTGTTTACATTTATAATTTTATTTTTCTACAAAAACACTCAAATCTTGATCTACACGTAAAACCAAGGAAAATTTTTGTTTCATAGTGTTGAATATAATATTATCTTGTCTTATCTGTTTTATTCACCTGCTTATCCGCTCTGCTTCTATCACCTCTCTCCTAAGTATCACCAACAACTCCGTGTTTTTATTGCGTTCTTTTATTTTTGTCACTTCGCTTAATTCCAAAGCGGACGGTGCAATGGTGGTGACCGCTGATGACATCAAAAATTAAACAAAATGAATAAAAACGAGTATAAGAATTGACTTACAAATACATATTGGAAATCTCCAAAAAAAAAAATTGAAAGAAAACACGCATATAGCGCATTAAACTTTCACTTTTTTGTCGAATTTTCTACTGATAGAAGACAAGTTAAATTGAATACCAGAAAATGTATGTATATGGCAACTGAAAAGCTGGAAAAGCGTTTGGAAACGCCCCCCTGCAGAACACAAGCTGGCACTGGTTTTCGCAGCAAGCGAAGTTACTTAGTCACGGAATATTTACATTTCTTATTTATATTTGCTTTTCATGTTGATACATACATAGTTAATGCTCACGTCACACTCCGTCGGTTGATCAAAGTTCAACCAAACAGTTGTACATATTTTTCTTCTCGCAATATTTTGTAATCTTTTCTCCACTCAATAGTCTGCAATTTATCATAAACTTTTAGAGTTCACTTAAAATTTTTACTATGAAATAATTTTGTGTGTGAGAAGTAGAACCACTGCGAAAATTAAAGTAATATCTTCCGCCTGGCTATTAAATTGCTGCACAAACCAATTGATGAACCAAAGTTACTTGACTTTTACGTTGTTTTGTTTTTGTTTTTTGTTGTAGAATTGAAAATTAGTAGACTGAGGTAATCGAGGAAAACGTCAACAAACAAGTTTTGCTGACAGCTGTTTGGGAATTTTGTAAATCAGACAATGCTACCAGATGTGCTGAATACAATAAACAGAAAATAAAGTGAATATTTCCCATTCATTTTACTTTTTTAATTGGGGTAATTTATAAATTTAATATTTATCATTTTGTGTAACAGCTTCACTGAATGCATTAAATACTTTTTAAATAGTTTTAATATATATCTAATATATATATTGCCTTTTTATCAAAAGCAAAATTTAATTTTAAATTTTGTATTTTTTATTTACAATATATGAAAATAAACGTTTTACATAGTAATATGTATAACACTAGCTATTTTACTTCTTATTCTTTTTTGTAAAACGGGGACCACCAAAGTTCTTGCCTTTATTGAACTTATTTTTGCCAGCTTTGTTGGCAATTTTCACACCGCTGGTTTTCTTCTTTTTCGCTATTTGACTGAGCTTCTTATGGCGATTGGCTTCCGATCTAAAAAAATTAAAAAAATAATAATTAATAAAATAATAAAAAATATTGTTAATAAAAAATTTTAATAAAAAAAAAATTAATTATTAATAAAAAAATGTAATAAAAAGAATTTTAAATATATGAAACATTTTTCGTAATATGCTACCTCAGACGCAACGCTCCGCTTCGGCTGACATCTGTCAAGTCGTTCGTGAATGCTGACTGGCTACGACGTTTTGTCGGTTTCAGTTTATTGTAGTCGCTTACATATTTCCGGCCTTGCTCATCAGAAACTGCGCTTAGTTTACCAGGACGTTTCTTCAGCTTTGACATCTTAGCGCGTACCAAAGACGCCTTTTCTATCTCCTTTATAACTCGCTCCTTTGCCAATTGCTCTGGTGACTTTTTCTTCGGTTCTTCCTTCTTTTTCTTCTTCTTAGCGTTGAGCTCTTTTACTGGCGGCCCATCTTCGCCTTCGCCACCATATTCAGTGCGCTTGCGTTTGCCTCCGCCTTTCTTTTCATTGGCACTATCCTTTTGATTCTCTTCGGGGGTAATAGCCAGACGTGCCTTTTCATCTTCACGCTGCTTGCGGGTTTGGAACCACGCGCGTTGCTCGGACTGGGTGCCTTGCAATTTACGTTCCGTTTTTGAAAGCTGCTGCTCCATCTTGGCCAGTTGACGCTCTGCTTGCTCTTCGTCCAAAATGTGTTCTGTAAATATGATTTAAGTAATAATGAATGTGTGGAAGAAAATAGTTAGATATCTTACGTATTTCCGGTTCGAGAGCGATTAGTTTCTTGCGATATTTTTCAATAATTTCTGGTGGTATAATACGATTCTTCACCGAGTTCTCAGCATTCTTAATAATGTCTTTAACGATTTTACGCTCTTTCTCACCAGCCAATGACACCGAAATACCTGCGCGCCCTGCACGAGCAGTACGACCGACTCGATGTATATAGTGCTCGGTTGTAATAGGCATGACAAAGTTAATGACGGTTTTTACGCCCACAATATCCAGACCACGAGCTGCCACATCCGTCGCTATAAGTACGTCTATTTGTTCTTCTTTGAATTTCTTTAACGACTCGAGACGCTGTTGTTGCGTGAGGTTACCATGCAGTTCGCCAGCACGTACGCCTAGTAAGCCTAGTAAAATGTGAAGGCGATGAGCTTGCTTTTTCGTTTGGACAAATACCATGCAATGATCGTGGAATGTACGACAAATCAAACTGGACAGTATAGGTTCACGATCACCCTCTTTATCTTCACGGATACGAATGAATTCTTGTCTTAGATTGAAGGCAACTTGTTGATTATTATTGACGAACACTTTAACTGGCTTACTGAGCGACACAGCAGCTAAGTCTTTGACTTGTTCACTCATTGTGGCCGAGAACAACATAGTCTGCCGTGTCTTGGCGCACGAATTTATAATTTCTTTCATCTGTTCGGCGAAATATTCATCTAACATACGATCTGCTTCGTCCAAAATGAGCACCTTTGAATCAAAGAGCCAAATCATTATTATTCACACAATTTCAGATCATTGAAAAATATAATAATTTTAAGAAATCAGGTTACGCTTCCTACGAAGTATAACTAAAAAGTTCTACAAATACAGAAAGAAGCTGCTTCAGAGCGCAAGGATATAATTCATCATCTAAGTAGTAAAGGCATTGTTCCGAAAAAACGAAACTACTTACCTCAATAGAATCCAAGCTAAAACTAGGCGTATTCTTAATATGATCGATGAGACGACCCGGTGTTGCTATAACAATATCAGGGTTCTGTCGCAAAACCAGTTCTTGTGCTTTTACATCTAAACCACCAATAGCCAAACCAACATCAATTGTTGTAAATTGACACAATTGTTTCGTCACTTGATACACTTGTGCGCCCAACTCACGGGTCGGCACCAACACAAGTACGCGCGTAATTGTTTTGTTATTCATTGGTCGGTATAAAAGACGTTCCAAAGTTGGTAGCATGTAAGCCGCTGTTTTACCGGTACCGGTGGCAGCGCAACCGCAAATATCGCGACCCAGTAATGCAATAGGTATTGTCGAAGACTGTATGGGAGTTGGATATATATAACCCAATACACCGATGGCACGCATTAGCGGACGTGACAGATTCATTTGATAGAACGATGTAATGGACTCGTTGCTTTCGATAGCTTCATCAAACTGCATTTTTTCACCTTCCTCCTCTTCCTCGTCTGAGTTATCATCAGATTTCTTCTTCTTTTTCTTAGACAATTTCTTCTCACGTAGTCGTAGATTGTCGTGCTTCAGTTCGTCATCGGAGAGCGGGATCTAAAATTATTAAAGATAGATCAACTTTCCTACACATATTGTATTGCCCAGTAACATACCTCATCATCGTCGCCACTGTTGTCTCCTACTGTGAGCTTGCCATCAGATTCACGTTTTTTCAGACGTTCGGCAATTTTGTCATCGGTCTTGGTTCGAGCCTTCCGTTTTACATATTTCATGAGATCATCCCAGGTATCTTGATTGTACTCCTTCACAGAGGATACAAATTGAAAACCTTTTTCAAACTCGGCAACTTTCTTGTGACGTACTTTTGTGGGTTGATACTAAAGAACAAAACATATTTGAAAGTTAATCAACTGCGCAGCATGCACTATTTTTTGTACCGCTTACCTCCACTTCAGCGTCGGAGTCTTCTGAGAAATTTTCAACCTCTGCATCATCTTCAATTGTTGCTATCAAGTCTAGATTTTTCGTGGCACCCATTTCTGCCAACTAAATACAAATTTTCCAACAAATTCTTTCAAAATTAAAGTTTTATTTTATTTTACAAGCTTTGTACAACCTTCTGCACCCAACGAAACACACGTGTGAGACAGCTGTTTGTTTTTATATCAAAACAGCACTGAACATTCGCCACATTATCAACATAAGTACACTGAACGCACGGTTACCGCAACATGTGCGCTGCAACTGACGGATTTCATTCTGCCTACTGCCTGCTATTGTGGAGAAAAAAATGTGTTAAAGTGTTCATTCTCAATTTTAATCAAGTGATAATAAAAAATATAAAGGATTTTAACAGGATAAATGTAAATACACAAGTATGGCGGAAATATTGCATAAAACTAAAAGCACCAACACTTTTCGGGTAAGTATTTGCCAACTATGCACCAGCACTTCATACTAAATACATGGCTCTTGCTTTTAGTATAAATCCTTTGCGGACCGTGTTAATGAGATTGATATACGACGTTTGGCTTTGTACCGTATTGGTCATGAAAACGAAGAACTGCCCGAGGAAGAAAATGAAACATGTTTTCACCAAACGCTGAAGAAATGGATAGTGCTAAACTTAACAGATGAGTTCGGTCAATTCAGCCGCAGATGTCTGAAGGTGGTAACATTGCCACAACTGGTGCACAAAAAAGACTTTGTGATAGATCTCTTGTTAGAGCGTCTTTCGACGGCCACGACTCTATCGCTGCAGCCATTATTGGAATTATTATACGTGTTAGCGCGCGATTTGCGTGAGGATTTCTACCCATACTTTCAACGCGTGCTCGATCGACTCATTTGTCTGCTGAATACCCAAGACGCAGAGCAATTGGAATGGACATTGGTTTGTTTGGCTTACTTATTCAAAGCACTGAAACCATACTTGAAGAAAAACATCGGGGTGGTGTTCCATGCCATTTTGCCACTACTAGATGAACAACGCTACGAAGAGCATGTAACCAATTTTGCCGTGGAGTGTTTCTCCTTTATAGCACGCGATGTGCGTGATTATCGCAAATTTCTCGATTTCGTGTTGGACACAGTAGCACGCGAACAGGTGGACAGCATAGCAGGTTGTGGTCGTTTACTCTTTGAAATAGTGCGTGGTGTCAAAGGACAATTCCATTCGGTAGCGAGCGATTTTCTTCAATTTATATTTGAATGCCTAGTTGACGAACAGCGGGCCAAATCGCAGGACAAACTACAATTGCTTTGTGAAATTGTTAAGCAGTCTGTTCAAGAGCTACTCAACTTTTTGTCGCCTCAAAGCATGCCACTCTACTGGAACAAACTCTGCAATGTAACCCAAAACATGATGTTAGCTGGTGTAGGAGCTGCGGAACGATTGGTATATATTCTGCCGTTATACATACTCGCAGCCGAGCACCGCAATGGCAAACATCTGTGCGAATTAGATGTGGTGGTACCAACCATAATCAAGATGTTGGACTACTGCGGACAAGAAAAAGCAAAAGGGAAAGCAGAAGCAGCGCTACGTTTGCTGGTGGAATTAGTTAGCAAGGTTTTACTGGCAAATAATGCCCACTTGACACAATTAGATACCAGTCGTTTAATGAAGAAAGCGTTGAGCGTGCAACAACGCGATATTTATGCGCAATTTGTGTTACTTGTTGGTGCGCATACGCAGTTCGAACTCTTAGTGCTACCTTCTGTCGTTGCGAACTTTGAGGACAAGTTTGATGAGCCCGCATGTGAGCTATTGGCACGCGTTGTCCTGCATAAGCGCTCACTGGCAGGCCATGCATTTGCGCTGGAGTCATGGCAGCCTTATATTTTACA